CTCTCTTGTCTGGGAAGCTCCTTATCTGTCCTTCGATTCTAAATGAAAGCTTTGCTGGGGAAAGTAATCTTGGCTGTAGGTCCTTGCTTTTCATCACATTGAATATTGTGTGCTAATCCCTCCTGGCCTGCAAACTTTCTCTTGAGAAACCAGCTGACAATCTTATGGGAGCCCCCTTACAAGTTACTAGTTGCCTTCTCTTGCTGCTTTTAGGATTCTCTCTTTGTCTTTAACCTTTGCTGTTCTCATTATAATGTGTCTTGGTGTGGGGCTGTTTGGGTTCATCTTGTTTGGGACTCTCTGTACTTTCTGGGCTTGTATATCTATTTCCTTCACCAGGCTAGGAAAGTTTTCAGTCATTATTTCTTCAAATAGGCTCTCAATTGCTTGCTTTCTCTCTTCTCCTTCTGGTACTCCTATGATGCAAATGTTGTTATGCTTGATGTTGTCCCAGAGGTCTCTTAAACTATCCTCATTTTTTTGGATTATTTTTTCTTTTTGCTGTTCTGATTGTCTGTTTTCTGCTACCTTGTCTTCCAAATCATTGATTCGATCCTCTGCTTCATCTAGTCTGCTGGTGATTCCTTCTAGTGCATTCTTCATTTCAGTTATTGTATTCTTCACTTCTGACTAGTTCTTTCTTATGTCTCTGTGTCCTTTTCTATGCTTGCTATATATTTGCTGAAGTTCTCACTAAGTTTCTTGAGCATCCTTGTAATCATTGTTTTGAACTCTGTTTCTGGTAGGTACTAGCCGCCATTTCATTTAGTTCTTTTTCTGGAGTTTTCTCCTGTTCTTTTATTTGGGACGTATTTGTTTATTCATTTTGCCTGCCTCCCTGTGTTTGTTTCTATGTATGAGGTAGATCTGCTATGTCTCCCAGTCTTGGCCGGGTGGCCTTATGTAGTAGGTGCCCTTTGGGGCCCTGGCACAGTCTCCCTGGTCACCTGCTCTGGGTGCTCCAGGAGTGTCCCTTGTGTGGGTTGTGTGTGCCCGCCTGTTATAGTTGAGCCTTGATTGATATTGGCATGTCAATGGGTGGGATTGACCCTCAGGCTGACTGGCTGGGGGTTTGGCCACATCCACAGCTTACAGGCTGCTGTGTGGGGCCTTATCTCACTGAGTGGGATTTGCCCCAGCAGACTCATGCCTGTTGAGACTGCCCGTTGTGTGTGCCGCTTGTAGGGGTAATTGGGAGGTGCTCTGCTGTGGTCTGAAGCCAACCTCCAAGTATGTTGATTCTGGGGTCTGTTGGGAGGGGCTCTGGTGCAGGCCCAGGTCAGCCACTGCCTGTGACCAGCCGGGGAGTACCTGGTAGGAGCTACAAAGCGATTCACATTTTTTTTGCTGCCTGTGCTAAACCTAGAGGCATGTGGGAGAGGTCATGCTGCAAACCAAGGATGGCTGCTATCAGTACCAGGCCTGGGGTAGCTCTGCAAAATGCCAGGACACCCCGAGTTCTGCTATAACCTCTCGGCTCCCTTGAAGTTCAGCTGCTGATAAAGCCTCATGTAGTATGCAAATTGGTTGAGTCAGGATCTCAGGGACTCACTAGAGTGGTAAGAAGTGTAGTTACCAGGTTAATGTGGTAACCAGGTTAATGTAAATTCTGGTTTGGTGCCAGTGCTGAGCCTGGATCTACTCAGGAAAAGTCTCAGAGCACACTGAGGCCAGTGGTCACCTGCCTGGGGCCCATGGACTCCCATAGTTTTCTAAGAAAGAGTGCAATTCGGGCGGGGCTGGCTTCTCATGAGAAAGTGCCTCCAGTGTTGGGGGAGTTGGGTGGGGTGGGGTCCCAGTGAGTCAGCAGGGTGAAGCCGGGGAGTTCACCAGACCAATCAGATTCAGATTTGGTCGTAAGCGTAGGGGGAGGGCTCAACACATTAAGGATGGCTGCCGCTTGCCGACTGCACGGCAGGACTCCTCTCAAGGAAAATGGGACTGTCCTCCAGCCCTGGCCTCAAAGCTACACACCTCAGTCTGCTCCCCATATGCCTCTGAGGTCCATCCACTGGAGCCCAAGGTAAGTGCCTGCGAGCAAGTCTGTGCACAGGCCCTTTAAGAGGACGTCTGGGTTTCCCACAGTCTACTGTCCCACCCGGATGGTTGGAATCCCCATTGTTTTGCACAGCCAGATGTTATGGGGGCTCATCTTCTCAGCATCAGTACTCTGGGCTGGAGAGTGGGAGTGGGGCTGGGGTCCTTCGCTCCTCTGGGGGGAACCTCCATGGCCAAGATATCCCTTCCGGTTCTCAACCGCCACACAGAGGTTTGGAACCAGCCTGTTTGCATCTCTGCCCCTCCTACCAGTCTTGATGTGACTTCTTTATATCTTTAGTTTTAAAACTTCTGTTCAGCCAGACTTCAGATGGTTCTCCACGTTGATTGTTCTATAATTTAGTTGTAATTTTAATATGTTCACGGAAGGAAGCAGGAACAGTGTTTATCTACCCCGCCATCTTGGGTCTCCTCTCTATGTGTCTCAATGTTGTATATTCATACAACAAGCAGCACTTCTATTCTTCCTTCCTTTTGTATTTTATATAAGTTCATGGGCTGTTTTTTCCATTTTGAGTCTATAAAAACACTTTTAACATTTTGATGTAATGTAGTGATATATGCATATATGTGCAGGTGTATGTATTAGTATTGTATAGATATTTTCTCATCTTGTAAAAGATTACCTTTGAATGGGAGAATAGTTAGAAGTAAATGAAATCAGGGAAAACAAGCACACAAACATGCGTACTGTAGGAGAATAAAGAGGAACAGAGAGAGCACAGAGAAAATTAGCTGGCAAAAGTGAGAATGGAGGCATGAGGACAGAGAAGGTGGTTGTCTCAAGCAGGCATAGGGCTTAAAATTGCCCTAAGGAGAGAGGTTGATAAAATGGAATAATAAAGATCCAAGTTCTATATGTGAAATATTGGATAATAACACCATGAAATAAATACTGGTAAATTGGCTCACCAGTATAAGTAGTAAAAGGGGCATATGTTTCATTTTTGTTTCTTTTGAAGAAACATGCCACTGTCACTTCCTCAGGAAGGCTTTCCCTGCTCACTCCATCTAAAAATAGTACCCCTTCCCTTCCATATCCATTCCATGCACTTGGTTGGTTTTATTCTTCTTTCTAACATTTATTGACCAAATTAACATAATTAATCCGTTTTTATGAGGACAGGAACTTTGTCTTGCTCAACTAGAAGCAGCACATAGTGGACACCTAAGAAATTACTGGATGAAAAAAAATAGGAAGAATTTCTTGCTGAAATTAAAATATTCTTTACCCACAGCAAAAGCAAACAAGCAAACCAACAACAGAAAAACTAACAAACAAAAAACCCCCAGAAAACTAGGAAGTAACTAGTTTCCTAAAACATTTTAAAGTGTTTTGATGCTCTAAATTCACCTTTAAAATGAAATAATTATTTCTGAACCAGACAAGTTATACAGAAAGTTGTTTATTAAAGATTAAATTGATACAGATACCAAAATCGCAAATGTAGGGCCGGCCAAGTGGCACATTGGTTAAGAGCTCTGAGGAGCAGGGCCCTGGTTCGGATCCCACATGAGGGCATAACTGTTCTCTACAGCTAAGATGGTGAACAACAGCTCGACCTGGAGCTGGGCTGCCGTGAGTCACACGCAAGGGTGTAGGCTGCAGCCCCTGCTGCAGTGGGCTGCCATAAGCTACCGTATGTGGCTGGTAGCCAGCGTGAGCCGCTGTGAGCAGCCGTCCAGAGGCCGGCAACCGATCTGCCTCACCCAGGAAGAGCGCAATGATAATACCAACATGGGCCAGTGAAGCGATATCCTCTACAACTAGACTGAAGAACAAAACAACAGCAACTTATCTGTTCCCCTTCCCCTGATTCCCCAGCGCTGTTCCCATCCCCCAATTCCCCAGTAAAATCTTTAAAAAAAAATCACAAATGCATTACTATCATTTTAAATGTTGTTATAAATGGTTAGCATTTCTACTGGTGGCAGTTTTTACAAAGTGCCATGAACTGAACTGTGTCCCCCAAAATTCATATGTTGAAGGCATAACCCCCAGTGTATTTGGTGATGGGGCTTTTGGCAGGTAATTAGGTTTAGATGAGGTCATGAGAGTAGGACCTTCATGATGGTATTAGTAGCCTTCCAAGAGATACCAGAGAACTTGTTGCCCGCTCCTGACCTCCACCCCCATAGCAAGAAGGCAGCTATCTGCAAGCCAGGAACATAGAAGTATCAGCCAAACCTTGATCTTAGATTTTCTAGGTTTCAGAACTGTAAGAAATAAATCCCTGTTGTTTAAGTCACCTCATCTGTGGCATTTTGTTAAGGCAGCCTGAGCAGACTAATACACAAAGCAAGCAAAAACTCAATAATGGAAGAAACAACATCAGTGTCAAACCAATTCCATGATGTATTGGGGCCACTGTCCCCTAAAATTTGTAAGCAGGTACAGAAAGCTGGAAAAAATGAGATGGCAAGAACAATTTATAAAACAAAACAAATCCACTATGCACAACTACATGGAAATACTAGTCACTGATTTCACATTTTGACTTAAGCAACTGGTCCTCTCTTGATGTTTTATCACTTGTATGGACAGCTGAAATCTAAAGATTTGCCTGGACTGAGACAACAATAGTTCTTTTCTACATATTTTTCTTAATTTGATGTAAATACTTCCAAGCAGACCAATTTCTTTCACCTGAAAGACACTGAAGCAGATGAGAAGCATAAGGGGAAGGCTGTTGGGTTACACACAGATCTGTTCATCTCCATAGGGCCCTTATGCTACTTGGTTTTTCTAGCCATTCACTTTCCTATTTTCCTCAAATCTTCAACACTTCCATTCCAATCTTTTCTCTCAGCTGATGACTTTGATTCCTACTTCACTGAGAAAACCGAGGCAATCGGAAGAGAACTTGAATATCTGTCCACCTAATGCACATCTGTGCCCATATCCTCTACCTCTGTTATTAACAGGAATATGCCATCTGTGCTCTTGGCCAATCTCTCTATTTATGAACCAGAACCCACTCCTCTCACTTACCTAAGGACTCCAATAATTCTCCTTCCTCTCTCTTCAGTGTTTTTACTCTCAACTAAATCATCCTCAAAAGCATACAAATATGCTATTTTTTTTTCCCAATGACCTGAAAACTTTTTTTCCATGGTCCTCCCCCCATTTCAGTTAATGGCAACTCCATCCTTTCAATTATTCAGGCCAAAAACTTTGGAATCTACTCACACCCTCCTTCCAAGAGGCTCTTCCTTTAGCAAATCCTTTAGGCTCTTCCTTCAAAATATGTCCAAAATTCAACCACGTCTCACCATCTTTATTGTTACCGACCTGGACAAAACCACCACCATCTTCTGACTGAATTCCTGCACCTGTCACTCTGTCTCCATTCTTCCTCCCCTACCTCTCTTGACTCTTTTTATTCTCAGCACAACAGCCAAAGGGATCCTGTTAAAATATAAATCACTGAATAAATTAATGACATTCATAATTCTAAAAACATTTGCAAGCCATTTTTTTTCTGTTTTTTAAATCTTGTCTGCTGTCAGGGAGGAAGAAGAAAAATATAACGACCATCATATTGGTTGCCCTGAATAATGTTACTTCACTCTCAATAAAGCCTTGTCCCCATGCTAGGGAGTATGGACAGAAAAAAGCAAGTCTCCATAATGCCAGTCCTTCCTGTAAAGCAAGAATAACTGAATGCAACAAGTCTGTGCCCTGTGATCACCTTCTCCCTACCATTAAGTCTTTTTGTTAAAGCTTCCTTGACCTCTTTATTACAACTATTAAACACCCCTTAACACCATGCTCCTCTGGCTTTGGGATTTGTCTGTTTCTTTTTTGTTCTGATTTGGTCACATGCATTCCAAAATATAGGAAAAGTTGAAACTGTTCCAGGGAGACTTCACAAGTAACAGCAATAAAAGAATAATTTTCATTATGTTGGAATTACCAACCTGGTGACTTAAAACCACAGTCCTATGCAGGCTGTACTTACTAAGACATAAAAGGATTTTCCTCAGTTCTCACGTTCATTTGTGTTTTTATTGCTGGAGACCTTGCTCTAAATGCCAAATGGTGAATTTATTTAGGCTTGTGGAAGATAAAAAGGATTAAGTAAACAGAAAGATTAAAATAATCTTTTTAATAGGAATAGTATCCATTCAACTTAAGAGCTACTGCAAACATAAATAAACTCTAGAACACTTGACTCATAATAAGTTTTTGAAGACTGCTTCTTCCAAGTTTTCCTATTTCTGTTAATGGCAGCTACATCCTTCCTCTGATTCAGGCCCAAACCCTCGGAGTCCTCCTTGACTGGCCTTTCTCCTCAGGTCCTTTACACATGCTGTTCCTCTGCCTGGAGTGTTCTTTCCCCAGATCATCACAGTGTCACCTCCTCCATTTTCCAATTTCTTCTCAAATATTATCAGCGAGGGCTTCCCTGAACAACCTATTTAAAAGAGTCAACTACCTCACAACAGTGTACTGCTGCTTCTCTGCTTTATTGTTCTTGAAGCACTGGCATACCCCAGACCTACATACATGGCACATTTGGCTAATTTTACTTGTTTACTTGTTATTGACGGTCTCTCCCCACCAGTATGAAAGCTCCATGGGCAGGAATTTTGTTTGTTTTCTTCCTTGCTGAATCTCCAACTGGTAGAACACTTAACACACAACAGACACTCAGATATTTGTACACTTAATGGGGATGACTAAGTAAAACTGTGACATCTGCCTCAGGAAAGACAACCATTTAATCTTCAAATTATTCACTTATTCTTCCTAACAAACTCTACATCCTTCTTGATTGCATAGTGGTGGTGACATTTAGGCATAAATTTGGGAAGGAATGAAACATTTAGGACTTCATAACATATAAGATAATAGCTCATTCTGTAACTCTATTAACATAAAATAAGAAATTATTGTGAGAATTACAAGCAGCAGGTGGCATCAGAGTTTTACATGATATAGGCTCCTTTTACATTTCACCTACATACAATCTGGTTTCACCATTAAAGCCACTGAGGCCCCTATTATTTTGAACTGCCAAGCATTAAATTACCTAGGCCCAGACCTTGTATACGCTTACTGGAAACATGATCTCCCAAGTATTATCTTATTTTGAGTTTCCAAAGAGAAGACCAAGTACTTTATCAGAACTATTATAATTTTTAAATAGTCAAAAAAGTCAAATGCTTCAAAAGATCTCTGCCCAAAATATTGAGTTTATTATGACCAACAATGCCACCAAACAAGTTCTCAGATCCAAACAGAATTAAAGTTTAAAAATATGAAAAAGTAAATCAAAACAATTATATATCATTAACCAAGAATGAGGAGGCATCAACTGATATCCAAGGAAACAAAATTACTGCTAAGTCTTGATAGACTAATTTCTAGACAAACTACCCAAACTCTTTCTCAATAGAGTACACCAAAAGTCTGTACAAAGGTCACAGTTTACTTTCTGTAGCTTTGCAGAAAAAAAAATTAAAACCAATTCTTGAGAATGTTAAACCATTATGACTTTAAAATTCTCCGTACGTTTTGCATGTTCAGCTGACCTATTTAAGGTGCTAAAATATACAGCTAAAATAAGTGTGTTCCAGTCCATTCACATGAGGCGTATATGTCATTAAGTTCTTAGGCAACTTCGTGCAATTGCAAACAAGAAAAAAGTTAATTCTGAGGCAATGAAAACAGAACGGACAGTACACACTCAGGCGACCTCTCACATTCTAACAATAGAGGTGCAACTTGTACCCAGGTTACTCAATCACAAGAATGGCAAGATTCTAGCAGTGGCTAAAAGTTTCCACAGCGAAAGGGCAGCGTCAAGGTCTGCCTTGCACCTCACACCCCACATCCTATGTTCCCCCAGCAGCCTGAAAGCGCAGGCCTCCTAGGGCCAGGTTCTCTCTCACCGTCACTGCACTTATACTGGCAGAGCCCGTCCTCGCCTCCCAGGAGGTCCAAGGCGGCGTTCAGGTACGTGTCGATCTTGTGAACGCCATTCCGGATGGTCTTCAGGGTGGCCCTCCAGTCGGTAGGCTGGTCCTGCTCCTGGCACCTGAGCTCGCCGGTCAGGACGAGGAGGAGGAGAGCGATCACCGGCCGCGGGAGCAGGGCCATCCGCTCAGCGCCCGGCCCCACTGATTCCCGGAGCCGCGCGACGGGCGCGCTCCCACGGAGCCCCCGGGGCGCCCTAGTCAGCCGCACACGCCTTGGGTGACAGTCGTGGCAGGCTCCATGCTCACGCCTCCTTCCGGGATGGGAGGCGGGCCCTAGCCCCGGTCTCCGCGCTCCCGCGGGAGGCGGCTCCCCGTTGCGCCTGCGCTGGAGCAAGGGGGCGTGTGAGGCGCGGCGGTCTCCACACCCACGTGGTGGCGCGACGCGTTCTGTCCCGGGGGAAGGGGGCGGGGCGGCCCGTGCGCCCTGGCGCCGTTTAGTACTGCCTGAGTGGGTCGTACTAACTAAATACTCGTGCGAGGCCCCAATCCCCCGGGAGGCTGATTAAGTGATTCTCGGAGGCAGTGGGCGTCGGTATTTTTTAAAAGCTCCGGGGTAGTTGTAAGGTGCCACCGGGTGGAGAACCCCGGTGAGCTACTCCGACCTGCCTAGATTTAATCCAGCCAACCCGGGGGACAAGTTTACCTGCGTGTGGACAGTGTGGGAGAAATGGGCCCCGGTGGCCCCTTGCAGAGATCGCTGCGAGGGGTTGGTCCAGCAGAGTTTCGAGTTTGAAAACCTGATTCTGCGCGGTCCAGGGGCGAAGTCCGGATCTCACCTGCTCCTGCCCGTCTTCAACGGGTCCTCTTGACCCGGATGACAGCGGTCGGGGGAGCGGAGTGCTCAAACATGCCAGCCCAAGGCCGAGGTGGTGCCTGACTCGAGGGTGAGCTACATGCTGATGTACAAATTCTGGAAGAAGAAAATGATTTGACAATTTAAAACCGTGTTGTCTTCCCTGGTAAGGAAGAAGCAGTACTCTACACTTGAAGGCAGTTTTTAAAAAAATCATATGGAAATCACTTTTCCTACTCAAGATATTTTGTAACTTGATAGCTTCAGCGAGGTTTCTCTATTTTTTCCCAGCGCTGTGCAGAATCTTTAAATAGCAATTGCAGTAATTTTTACCAGAGCTATAAATATCTGGTTATCTTAGTAGCCTGGCAGTTTCCAAGAATTTTATGGTAAGATCCAGGGCAATACTGCAACTGTTGGGAGTAGGTGTGTCCTTTCTGTAAGAATTACGATAAATCCCAGTTTGGCGTTTGTGTTTGTTACAAGCTTCCTGAGTTTATAATAAATGTGCAGTGCAGAGTTCTTAAGAATTATATCCCTCAGTATTGAGAGCTGACTGTGCCATGCACTTCATGTCCACGTTCTCTCACATACACACCACTTTACAGGGATTCAGCCTTTGGGCCAGTTAGAAAAAGGCACCCCTCCCAGCAGATGGCTGTAGCCCAACCCCAGGCCCCAGCTTTTGTCCGTACTCAGACCTTCAGTTAGGTGCCTTTGGACTGTGATAAACTCACACCATAGTGGAGGAAGAGGAGAAATGTGCCCCGAGCGGTAGTATCCTCCTTTTTCCAGGAAGGAGTCAGGTGCAGAGAAGTCACATGATAGTATCCAGTCAAACCAAGACCTCTTTCTGCCTTCACAAGATGCCAGAGATTTTTTTTCCTTAATTTTTTTTTAAAGATTTTTTTTTTAATTGGGGAATTGGGGGGATGGGAACAGACAAGTTGCTGTCGTTTCTGTTCTTCAGTCTAGCCCTGGAGGACGTCGCCTCACTGGCCCAAGTTCGCACCATCATTGCACTCTACCCAGGTGAGGCAGATCAGTCTCTGGCCTCTGGACGGCGGCCCACCGGGGCTGCCGGCAGCTCACGCTGGCTGCCGGCCACACACGGCAGCCCACGGCAACCCACTGCCACAGGGGCTGTAGCCCCCGCCATCGCCGGCAACTCACAGGGGCCTAGCTCCAGGTTGAGCCGTTGCTCAGCACCTCAGCCGTAGAGGGCAGCGTCACTGGCCCTCATACGCGGGATCCAAACTGGGGCCCTCCGTCGTCCCAAGCCAGCTCCCAACCATCGCGCCACTCAGCCGGCCCTTTTTCTCCTTAATTTTGAACAACACATTTCAACGCATTCCGGAAAGGGAAAATAGAATTATCCTTTTTAGTTTTCTGAAGCACTGATTTTTCTTATCTCTAACAGTGTGGATTTTGGACTAGATTACCTCTGAGGTCCCACCTAGCTGCACTACTGGAACCCATAAACCAGGCTTGGTTCTTTCCAGTCTTCAGAGAAACTGCCTGGTAAGGAATAAGGAAAGACGGAATGTAGTAAGGTAACCTGGTTCCCGCCCTCAGTTACAGAGGGCCTCTCTTGTTTTCCTTTTCTCTCTGCATTTGCTCCTTGGTGACCTCATCTAATTTCTTATACTTTAATGACAGCCTCTGCTCTGAGCACTTAGACTTGGTCTTCTCTGTCTCATCTCTCCTTAGGAATTAAATTCTCAAACTCCACATCCTCAGGCTGATAGACCTGTTCTCTTTTTCTTTCAAGCAAATCTTTTTCTCCATTGTGTTCCCCATGGAAAACCATCATCTCTCCAGAAAACAAGATTCAAAGTTTTATTTTCACATTTTCTTCATATTCAGTCATTAGACATTTGTTGTTCTGCAGTAATTCCAAGATTTGCTTTTTCTTCTTAATTCCTGCTGTCAGATCCCAGAGTTTGGCATTGACCACAGAGCCAGCTACATCATTTGTAGAGCTCAGTGCAAAATGAATATTGTTTAAAAAATTATGAAGAATGTCAAGATGATGAGGACAGGAGATCAAGTGGAGGCCTTCTGAGTTCAGTCAGGGAGGAGTGGAAGTGTGAAAAGCGATCGCATCCTAGATATAACTTGACAACAGATCCAACAAGATTTACTGATGGACTGAACATGATGTTGAGGGAAAGAGAGGAATCAAGGATGACAATGGAGGTTTTGGCTGAAGCAATTAGAAGATAGAGAATTCTCACTAACTAAAATGAGGATTCCAGAAGGAGCAGATTACAAGGAGAATTTAGGAAATTAATTTCAGACATGTTTGAGAAGCTTATTCTGTATCTGTAGTTCAGAGGTGGGATAAGGGCTAGAAATAAATTTGGAAGTTGTCAGCATAGAAGTGGCTTTTAAAGACACAGGCCTAGGTGCTGTCCCCTAAAAAGAGTGTAAAGAGAAGCAGAACAAGGTCTAAGTCATAGGAGGTGAGGGGACTAAGAATCAGCAAAGGAGACTGAGGAGGAGCAGCCGAGCAGCAGGAGAAGGCCATGTTTCAGTGTGTCTAAGACAGAGCCAGCGATTCGGCTGACATGGAGGACTGGCTGTTGATCACTGGGTTTAGTAACATGAAGGTTATTGGTGCACTTCACAAGGGACATTTCAGTGGAGTACTGAGGCTAAAACACAGCTGTAGTCAAAGGAAGAAAAAAAATAGGAGAAATTGGGTAAAGCAATTCCTACCAATACTATCAAAACAAAATTATGAAGCTCTAAAATATGGTGTATTTGTGCTGATTCTTGTCTGAATGATGTGAGTGCCTTGGAATGAGATCTTCTGGGTGGCTGAGAGTAGGCTTTGTTTTCTTCACAGAGCTTTCCAGGACAACTGTAAACACAATCAGTCAGGTATTCCTTCTAGAGGTCCCTAATGATCACTGTATGTGGACGTCGTGGAACATGATTGTATTAAAGACATAAGAATTCAAAATGTATTGGGTTTAATGTAACATATTAACTCAGAATGCTTGGAAACTAGAATATTGTGCAATCCTTTTTGTTATTTGAAATGACACAAAATCAACAAAATACAAACCATCAAGGGCAATTTCTATTTTTTAGTCTTTTCCAGCATCTCATTAAATGGTCTCAGCAGTGATCTTGTGATGAAAATGAATGCTATGTGTTGAAACAATTCCAACCCTAACAATCCATCTATGCTCAGTGCTAAGGCTGAAAGATTAGTTTCTAAAAGAGGCTCAAATTAAGGGGACATAAAGGCGAGGTTCCAGCCTCTGCCTAAAAAATATCAATGTGAATCGCTTCCAAGCTGGGGTTGAAGTGAAGGAGAAGAGATGGCTGCACCAGGTCCATGAACATGGTTTGTTTTCATGATATGTTGAATATAATGGCTCTCTGCTTGGGGAGGTCTCCATCAGGCACATTTGATCAGCGTCTCAGTCCATTTGCTCTTCTATAACAAAATGCCATAGACTGGGTGGCTTGTAAACAACAGAAGTTTATTTCTCACAGTCCTGGAGGCTGGAAGATCAAGGTCAGAGTGGCAGCATAGTCGGCTTCTGGGGAGGGCCCTCTTCCGGGTTGCAGACTACTGACTTCTTGCTTTGTCCTCACATGGTATAAAAGGTGTGGGATCTCTGGGGTTTATTTTATAAAGACACTAATCCCATTCATGAGGGATTCACCCTCATGACCTAAGCACTTTCCAGAGACCCCACTTCTAATACCATCACATTGGGCACTAGGATTTCAACATATGAATTTGGGAGGGACATGAACATTCAGACCATAGCAACCGGAGAGAGATTTTCAAGTGATCTTTATGAGTAGAATGTAAGACTACTTCTCACACAGAGAGGAAGCACTAGAAAATATGGAAAGGAACCTGCTTAGGTGAGATTGCAGGGTTTTAGACCATCAGGATACATTCAGGTGTGTGGTTTCTCTAGATAGGGTTTCTGGCTACTTCCAAACCCCTTCATATTTCCTACTTCAGACAATACATCTTCCCTAGGTTCCCATCAAGTGCACAGCTTCAAAATACCCCTGACTAAACCTACTTCTATTCCTTTCTTCCCTTTATGTGGCAACACCAATCACATCATTATCCAAGAGAAAACCTGGGAATTATCCTAGACTCATCTTTCTCTCCCTAGTCCCCTGTCATCTCGTCTGTCCCCAGTGCCATCTGTTTTCCTCTTTAGTGTTTCTAGAATCAGTGCCATCCTCTTTAAAAGTACCCTGCTTTAGTTTCTACCTTCATCATTTTTTTTCATATGGACTTCTCCAGTAGTCTCTGACTATCTTCCCTACCCCATCTCACCCTCCTCCAGCCCGTCTTCCTCACGGCCTCCAGCATGAACTTTCCAGAGTCCTTCAGTGGTGCCAACTCTTTGGCATGAAGCCCTCCCGGGCCTGGCTTCTCCTCCCTCTCCAGCTGCACCCTGGGCTCCAGCCTCGCTGAACTGCTCTCCGTCCCCTTGTGTGGTTGGCTCCTAAGTCACAGGGCCTTTGTGTTTCCATCTGCCGAGAATGTTCTTCCATAATTCAGAGTAAGCTCACCTCTGGGGAAGCCTTCTTTGACCCTTCAGGCTGATTTATGCGTCTCCTTTGAGTTTTCCTCACCATTGTACCTGGCAAAGTGCAGCTGTACAAGTATAATTTCTTTTTCTGTCTCCCTGATAAGATGGAGAGCCCTGGGGCCAGGGTCAAGTATAAGATGATAATAGAGTGCCACATCTAGTGAGCTCTGTTCATTGACCACATTCAGGGAAGACCATGCTAACTCACAGAAGCAGCAATGGCAGAGGGTCAAGCATTCGTGTCCAGTGCCTGGCCTCTGCAGTACTAGCTGAACATGAAGCCTGAGACAAGAGCTAGTGGCAGTGAGAGTCGCTGATGAGTAGCCCTACAGCGGTCTTATTCCCAGATGCATAGCCTCCAATGCCCTGGCTTTCTTGGAGATTCTGTGAACTGCAGAATATCTTTGAATAAATCTGCATTTTTTATTAAGCCAATGAGATTGGCTCCTAGTTGTCTGCAACTAGGAGCCCTCACAGAGAGCTCTAAACTGGAAGAGCCCTGGAGCCAGGTGGTCCCACTCCTGCTTCCCAGGCTCTGCCACGTGAAATCACTATGGAGGAGCTGGCTCATCACTGGTCCACAGGATGGACCTCCACCCTGGTCTACTCTGCTGCCAAGCCTCCAGGCCCCAGGTCACTGTGTAGACTGGCTTGGTCCTTTGAGAGGCCACGGTCCCACTCCTTTCTAGATCAGCTGAGGGTGCCCCATATGCTGGTTTCCCAGCGTGTAGCCCTTAGTACTGTTCTCTTTTTGTCCCGTGCACAGATGTCTTCTGAGGTGCCACATGTTCCAGGTTTGCTGGGTCAAGACAAGGTGGTGGTTTTAAAACATGCTGCAAATTCTTTGGTACCCCTCCTATTGAGAGATGAAATTACATTTCCTACCCTTGAACCTGGTTAGGCCTTTGTCATGGAGGGCTAAATGACATCCAAGGCTAGGTTTAGAAAGGCTTTGCAGGTTCCGGCGGTTCTTCTGGGACATTTGTCAGGTACCATGTAAGAAGTTTGCAACTCCGAGTCAGCATGGAGAGCCCGTGTGGAGAGACCACGTAGCGAGAGATGTCTGAGAAGCCCCAGCCCTCTGAGTCCTCCCAGCCCAGGCACCAGATACATGGGTGGAGAATCCTTCATGATGACTCTTGCTACAGCCCTGACTGACAGCAAGTGTGTGACAGGATGGAAGAACTGCCCAGCTGAGTCCAGTCAATCCCCAGATGCATGAGTAAAACCATAAACCATTATTATTTAAATGGCTATTTCAGGGTTCTTTTACAGCCGTAGATAAACAAGCACTCACCTGTATTTGATGACAAAAGGAATTAAACATCTGGGCAGCACGGGCGGGGAGGAGGAGTTAAGGTTTAATGGGCGCAGAGTTTCATTTGGGGAAGATGAAAAATTTCTGGAGATGGCGAAGGCTGCACAACAATGTGAATATACTTAAGGCCACTGAAATATATACTTCAAGATGGTAAAAATTTTATGTATATTTTACCAAAATTTTTAAGAAGAAAAACATTGGGTCAGTAACTGATTTTGGAATATATTTGTAGAAATGGGCATTTTTATTATCAAAATAATTGCGCTCTATCCAGGGCTGGATCCCAGGAACTGAAGGTTGTATTTATGTGAAAAATATACCTCTGCCTTCAGGATGATAGCTGTGTTTAAAAAATAATAATAATAAAAGCAGCTAATATTTATTCACCGAGCATCTTTTATTAATCAAGTGCTAGGGATGCAGACAGAAGGAACACAGTCTCTCACGTGTCTTACAGTGTGATGGGAAGAGGTAGACAAACTGATAAAAACGGAGTATCTTGGGTAAATGACAAGCGCTCTGCTGCGATTAAAGCAGGGTCAAGTGATACAGGCTGGATGCCTACTGGACACTGAGTCCGCAGGGGAGCCCTGAGTGAATGTTGGTGCCATTTACTAAGGAGGGAGGAGCAGATTTAAGAAGGGGCGGTGCTTTGGGGTGGCTGTTTCTTTTGAAATCCTATGAGCTATCCAGGTGGAGATGTTAAGTGCTCAATGAGATATACTACTCCCGAGTTGTAGGAAAGGTTATGGCTGGAGATACAGATTTGCTAGTCATTGGACTGTGGGTGGGATTTAAAGATGAGATTACCAGGGAAGTGCAAAGTAAAAGAAGCCATCAGAAGGAAGAGGCTGAGCCCAGCAGCCCAGGAGGCAGCAGGCCAGGCAGAAGACTGTGATGCTCTGAGGCTGTGTCTGCTGTCCTGGGGGCAGGGCAAGGTGAGAATGGTCAAGTGACTCTGAGGTTAGAGACAAGAAGGTCAATGGTTGTGTTGTAGTGTCTGTGGAGAGATTTAAAGAAAGGGTCAAGGAGAACTTGTGAAACGAGGAACTAAAGACAAGTTTTTCAAGAATTTTTAATCCTTAAGGAAGCAGAGAAATGGGACGAGAGCTGTAAGGTCAGTTATTTTCCTGTGACAGGTACTATGCCAAATATTCCGTTTTCAGTAGGTAGTTTCATTTTCTCAAGATTCCAGTTTCTATTTTAAAGATGGAAAATGAGACCAAAGAAGATAATAAATTGTGCAGGGTCAAGCAATTAGTAGGTGTAGATTTGGGGCTTGAGTCTAGGCTTACGTGACTCCAATGTCACTCAATTAGCCAAACCTTTAGTGTAGTCAACATAGCACTCCTGCATGAAGGCGATAATTTAATCACATTTCTAATAAATAAAATATGGATGCTTGGCTAAAATATTTATTCGAGAATTAAACAGCAAAATTCCAGTATGGCATAAAGCTTGTAGAGACCTTTAAAAATATCCAATAAAATTTGCTTTATTTTTTTCCTAGAGAAGTACTAATTAGGCAGTATCATTTCAATTAAAATGGAACTCTTGAGAGAAAAAGAGTAGAAAGAAGAGAGAGATCACAGTTTTATACATTGTACTGAGAAATAAGAGACCTTCCCACATGATGGCTAATCCAGTCAAAATAATTGGCCACTTTGGTGTAAACGCCTGGGAACTCTGGTTGTCCACAGTTTTCACCCCAACTTACTACACCCCAAACATAAGTCACATTGTTGTCATTCTTACAGACTAAGGGGCCTCCAGAGTCCCCTTTACAGGCATCAATGGAACCGTCATCTGTACCTGAGAAAGACACAGGAAAAAGAAAATCACACATGTACTTACATTTGTCAAGGCCACCCTGCCATCTTCCTGCCTCTCCCACCAATGCGTGTAAGGACTTTGGCTTTCTAACCCTTTCCTAACAGGAAATAATGCCTGCTCTCCCTTGCAGGCCTCTGCTGGGCCCGCGGAGCTATAGCGACGCAGGTGGGGAAATACTTTGTCTTCTACTCATTCTCCAAATTTAGCAAGTGCTCTCCCTGCTTTCTCTACTTTATGCAAATACGTGTATACCATGATGAGATTACATTCTGAAAGTACCATCAGATGCTGAGTGAGAAAATAATATGAATAGCTAGTGCTTACTGAGTGTGTAATATGTGTTAGTCACTCATTGCTTTAATCTTCACCACAACACTATCTGGTAAGTATCATCATTATCCCTATTTTAAAGTGAGACAAATCAGCCATAGAGACAGAGGTTATAAATATTAACCTCTTGTCCAAGGCCATACAGCTAGTAAGTGGCAGAGCCTGGATTTAGGCAACCAAACCTCAGAGCTTGTCCTGTTAACTGGGATATTGCCACCTGGTAGATTTTGTGCTGTTCTTCTTTCTTGTCCTCTATAACCCTGAACTCCATTTTAAGTGAGGAGGGCACAGGAAATAGTCTATTTACATTCTTCTCACTCTTACGACTTTCTAAGATTTTTAGATTGCTGTATCCACCAAGTTATAGGATGTCAGTAACTCCGCTTCTTTCTGTAATACACTACTTAGAAGTGGTTTAAACAAAGCATCCTAAATGGACTCTGCGGTGGTCACCTGCCTTTGGGCCACCACCAAAGGTCGGTAAGAACTGCTGTAGTTGTGGTGGGTGGGGGCACCTACGTCTATGACATTAAAAGGGACACACAGGTTTCGTAAGAAGTTCAGTGGGATTTCCGAGGAAGAAGAATTGAATGCCAACTGGATGTATTTGAAATGAGATCATTTGGATTTTTATTTATAAGAAGTTTGGGTTTTGATCCTGGATATACCACTTCTTGTCTGTTAGGACTTGGGGCGAATTATGTAACTGCTCTGCAGTTTCCTTATCTATTAAGTTCCCCAATTTTGCAGATATGGAAACTTGCTCAAGCTCACATGAATAGTAATTGGATTAAAACGGGATATAAACCCAGGCAGTCTGGTTCCAGAGTCTGTGCTCTTAGTCACCTTGCTATACTGCCATCTATACCACTATACTGCTTAATATGGTCCCCCTTAGTATTAGAATGAGGAAACTTGAGCTAAAGGGAAGGGACTGAACGAGTTTGATAATGCAAAAGCCAGAAGGCCAAATGAAAGGGTTCAGGGCCCAGCGCTGATTTGGGCCCTCATTTGGCGGGGAGGGGGAGACATGTTTGTTAGGGATAGTGTGTGTGTGTCATACAAATCAGCGCTTACCTGCACATTCCATTTCTTTTTCAAAGTAGCGACCTGGGTAAAACTGGGAGCAGTTGCTTTTTAGGTAAACTTCACCCCACATAAGTGAATAGACTTTTTGGTTATCTAAACAAAGTGAGAAAATAAATAGGCGTTTAGAAGTCACAAATGAGAAATCTAAATAAATACTTAGTCTCATAGTTTAGTAAACCATTAGGAATATGTAAGAATATATATATTCTTTAATACATATGTAAACTTTTGAGGACAATTCATTAGCATATTTAATCATACATTGCTCATATCCCCAGTTTCTGTATCTGCCTTTCTAAAAATACTCAAGGGTCATTCTGACGTTCTACTTGCTTAACAAAGAACTGGGTACTCTGAGATGAGTGAGATAAACTCCTTTCCTTCTCATTGCTGAGTCCAGTGGGGAAGTTGGATAGGGATCAGGGACCAGGGTCTTCTAACATAAATAGCTCCTATTTTCTTACAGTCCCTTATTTCCTTGAAAGTGCTTGTTAGAGTGAAAACAACTTTTTAATGTAAGAAGTTAAAATGAAGAAAAAACATGCAAAGTTATCCGTGTGTATGTGTTTTTGTGTGTCTGTGGAGAGATCTCTCCTGCGTGATTTGAAAGTGACTGAAAGAGAATTTAGGATCTCCTTCCATTTAAGTTAGAAATTTGGGACTTGAATATTTTTGGTCCAAGGAAAGAGAATGGCCAGGTACTGTTACTGATTGACAGTCCAGGCAAGATGAGAAAAACCTAAGACTTAGGGTGAGGTGTCTCAGATATAAAGAGTCAATCTTTGCCCACCTCCCATCCTCCTTTTCCTGTTTGCAGCAACTTTTATGCTCTCAGAGGGCAGGGACCAGGCCTGACTCATTTACTGCTGCACCAGCACCCAACCTCATTCGAGCATACAGTAGTTTGCTTAATAAATATTTATGTAATTAATTAACTCATGAACTCAGTAATTCAATCATGAACATCTTAGGCCAAGTGACTTACCTCCTCTATAAACTACCTGGGGACAGAGATCTCTGGCTTAGCCTGAGAGGACAGCCCCACAGACCCTAGCACTGTAGTGACTACATAGTCCTTAACTGTAGAGCTAATATTCCTCTCTTCAGGGAAGCAGAGGGAGACAAAGAGCCATGACAGTATACGGCAAACCTGGAAAGAGTTTCTTTTCTTCTTCTTCAAGTCCTACTTCAAGTTAGTCTCAAGATGGCTACCTTCTTTGGGATAGAAGCTTTCTTTTTTTTTAAATTATTTTTTTATTATGAAATACACATTTTTTAGAATTAGTTTCAGCTGTACATCACAGTGCAGTAGTTATACTTTTTACCCCTCAAAGTGACAACCCCCCTCCCCCAGTCTGCCGCCCCATTTCCCCCCAATATCATACATATCTATTACAAATCCCTTGACTCCACTCCCACACTATACTCCACATCCCATGACTCTCTCTCTCTCTCTCTCTCTCTCTCTCTCTCTCTCTATATATATATATATATATATATATATATTCACTTATAGTTGACAAGGAGCTTTTTAAAAATTAGTGATTTATTGTTTCCCCAAACTCAGGAGAAGGCTTTAGACACTGGGAGCTCCCATCCCATGTGAGAAGTTTTTAATGACTCAGGAGATCGCTCGCGCCCCTGAACTCTTGTTTTATGTACTTCTTGAAGCACTTGTCACATTCTGCTGTCTGATGGTGGCATTCATGACTGATGGCTCCTACAGAAGGGAGAAGTCCCTTGGGAGCTTTAAGTCCCTTGAGAGCTGGCCTTGTCCTTCAACTTGTAGCCTCTGCACTGCAGCCCCTGTTTTTTGACTGGGTCCATATTTTGCATCAGTGAAATCCTAGCCTATTAGCATTACTTTCTTACACTCAAAGTAAAGGGCTCAATAAATGCATTAAACCATTTTTGATTAATAAACCAATGGATAAGAACATATCTACCATTTATAGAAAATACATGGAATAGAAGAACATGTTAAATACCACATCCAGGATACAATCAGCCAAATTCAATGTGTGGAAATTCTAAAATAAGAATGACCCAGTTTATTTAATAAATACATTTAAATAAAAGGAAAGGGTAACTGTTCTAGATTAAAAGAGATTTAAGGAAAATAGCCACCAAGTGCAATATGTGGACTTTGTTAGGATCCCAATGGAAATAATCTGATTGTAAAAATGTTTTGTACATAATTGAGGAATATTAAACCCAGGCTGGATATTCGCTGATATTACCAAATCCCTTTCTTTTTTTTGAATATGAAACATGCTGTGTCTTCACTTTGTTTTTTAAAGCCCTTACCTGATAAAGATATTTACTGGTGTATTCACAGGTGAAATTACATGATATCTGGGATTTGATTTAATATATCCCAGGAGAAAAAAAAAGTGTGGTGGTGGTGGTGGTGGGGGGGGAATACGTTGAATAACTCCTGACTGTCCTTCAGGTCCATTCTCCACTCTTCAGCGCCCCGTCCCTGCCCTAAGAGCCTGGCCTGGGGTGCTGCCTCAGTAGGAATCCCTCAGCTTTTGGTTTCCTGCTGGTTTCCAACAGAAGACGCCAGCAGAAGGGAGAGAGGGAAGGAGAGACGCTATCAAGATTGGGGCTGGCTATAACCTTCATCTCAAGGTTATTGCTTCTCTCAAGGCAGCCTGCTCTACCTAAGGCTCGTTCTCCTTCTGGTAACTTCTCCTTCCCTTTACACCTGCAGATCCAGAAGAGGTCTCTGTTCTGGTACTGTTAGTCCTGGGTTTCTGCATGGCCCCTGGGGCCCCCCAAACCCTCACCCACATCTTTGTAATTAACTCCTTTATAAATAAATTTTCCTAATTATCTTATTGAGATAGTGATTGATTCAGGGAGATAAAACAAAAGTGGAAGAATGTTGATAACAGTGGAAACTGGGTGGTGAATAAGTAGGTTTATTATACTTTATCTCTACTTTTGTGTATACTTGTACATAAAGAGGTTGTGTTTTTTTTAAAAAAACAATGACTATAAGGACATAATGCCTTCTGGATGAATTACTAATAAAATTTAGTATTCAAACATACCGTAAATTCAGGTTAATTTGTACATATATTTTATACTTTTCAATGTGGCAATTATAAAGAATGTGTTGGAATATGATTCTATCAGACCAATGCAATGAAGTTATTTACAAAGAGAGCTTAAGAGGTCAAAAGTAAGTGAAATTTCAAGGCTAACTCTTCAAGAAGAAGGAAAAGCACTGGCTAATTTAATTCTAATCTAACCTGTAATTCAGCAGGTCTTTCTGATAATGTGTTCCTAAGTGTTCCACATCTCTTATTCATATGAATGTTCACCTCAAGTCTTAGAAGCTCAAAGAACAAATTCTTTATGTTGTCTTTGTCTTTATGGAATGTGGGGACTAGGGGCATGGAGAATGGTGGAGGGAAGAGGAGAGAGAAGGGTGTGGAATCACTGACTCAGCATATACTGTGACATCCCTTTGAAAAACTGTTTGTCTTCCACCCATATCTCGTCAACAAATCCCAAAGCCCATGCTATTCATATATGTCCCCCTATCACTCTCTTTTTCTTGGTAAATGGTTACTCCTTAATGGATGCTTCTGAATTACAGACTGTAGGTATCCTTTGAGACTCTGGATCACGATCAGCTACATAATTTGCATAGCCCAGTGAAAAATGAAATGTGAGGTGGGTCCCCTGCAAAAATTATTAAGAACTTCATGATGGTGACAGTAGAGCAATAAACCAAGTATGGACCCCTCGGGTGCTGAGCAGCTGCACAGGTCCCATCCCAGGAAGCCAGCCTCGCTTTTCTGGATTGGATGCTATGTTCTCTCTGAGCATTAGATTAACTCCTATGCATTTCTATTCCCATTAATTTTCAACCCCTGGATTCTGATTAACAAAGTGTAAAACGTACCTTTTTCTCGCCCCCAGCCAGAAATGATGCATTTGTCATTAGGTCGGAATAAATGTGGAGACCAGGGGACACAGGCAGGGACGGAATTATGCAGCACACATTCTTTTTGGTTTGCGCGCTTTTTCATTTCAATCAAAGCTATGTCATTTTGGTAGGTGCCTCCATTGTAGTTTTCGTGGATAATAACTCTATTGACCTTATTAACTATTATCCCAGTGTTAAGCTTTACCCAGTCTAGTAATGATGTCCATATTTCGTAACGGTGAGATTTACTGACTCTGTAACAGAAAAAGGAAAAGGGAACTATGTTGAGAAAAAAACAACTATAAACGTGGACTTCTGATACTTCATCTTTATATTCTTCCTTCTAAAGGACGTTTTTTATTTTCCCAGATTTTTTTTTTAACTCTTGCTGTCATGAAGCAGTGCAATTAAGTTTACTTAGGGCAGAGTTAAAGTCAATTGGTAAATGAACAGAGGAATAATCCATCTATATGCACATTATCAGGGACATAAAGAATTTGCTAACAACTAGAAATGCCTAGAAGTGAAATGAGTTGGCTGCCTCTGGAATGAGAGCACCACCACGGAAGGTGCTTAAGCAGGGACCAGAGAGCATCCAGCCAGCAACGTGGTTGAGGAAAGAGGAGTCAGAGAACACGCTCTCATTACTTTGCTGACTCCAGAGGGTCTCAGAGCCAAGACCACAGCAGTCAATTATCCTAACCTTTAACACTGACTTCATCCGAACATCACACTGTATTTATTTGCTCACAAGCCTTTCTTCCTGTTAGACTGTGCTACTTGAAGTCAAAGATGGATGGGGTCTTATTAATCTATGGATAGATGACTGTGCCTAGTGTAGTACCTGGAACATAGTAGCTGTTTTAAAATATGGTGGAAATGGTGACTGAGCTAAATATTGCCTGTTCTTATGCTTCACTCCATTTCATACCAATTTTCACCTCATGCTTTCCAGCAAGTTGGGCATCTACCATCATTTTCTCAGGTAATCACATTACAGTTAAATAGTGATGCCCTTGGAGTTAATGCAGTGTTCAGAATGATTTTAGTTAATGCTTATTGTTCCAAGAATGCTGTGTTTCATATTAATTTTGGTTATTTTTCAGGATCAGAGGTCCTGGATATTGTTTAAAGATTAACCCTGGTTATGCATTCAATTTACTAAACAAATACTTAGTGTGCACCTACTATATATCAGGTATTTTGGTAGCCATTGGGATACAGAAATGAGCAAAAAATCAGAAATAGTTCCAACCTTCATGGATCTCAGAGTCTAGGGAAAGATGTAGCATTAAATATTGGGTTGTCGGAAAAGTCATAACGTATTTTGTCTGTTTTTCAAGGGTCACTTATTTATATAAAGAACAAAGATCAATCAGTGCTATATTGCCCATTTTGTTCGATAACCTTTTGCCGTCTTTCAGTGAGCTTCATAATTCCTCATTCATAGAAGGACCTGTTTTATTGGCGAAAAACTGAACAAGGTGTTGATTTACAACCTCATCTGAATTGAACATTATACCAGACAAGGAGTTTTGAAGAGAGCGAAACAAGTGGAAGTCTGACAGCACAAGGTCAGACGAGTATGGTGGGTGTGGCAACACATCCCATCCAAGCTCCAATAATTTATAACGGGTGATCAGACTTGTGTGTGGTCTCGCGTTGTCATGATGGAACACAGCTCCTTTACAATTAACAAGCTCTGGACGTTTCTGGATGATGGATCCATTCAAACTGTCCAATTGCCGACAGTACACATTCAAATTGATTGTTTGGTTCCTTGGTAGGAGCTCAAAAAATATGACACCTTTAAAATCCCACCACACTGAGAGCATAACCTTCCTCTGATGAATGTCTGCTTTCGATGTCGTTTGAGGTGAATCATCACGTTGGGACCAAGATCGTTTGCGCGCCACATTGTTATAAACAATCCACTTCTCATCACCAGTTATCAGTTGCTTCAAAAAAGGATCATTTTCCTCACGTTTAATGAGCATATTTCAGATGTTTATATGCGCCATCAAATGAATTTCTTTGAGTTCATGTGGAACCCAAATATCAAGCTTGCTTACGTATCCCAGCTTTTTCAGGTGGTCGTGAAGGCTTGAATGATGGATGTTCAATGTTTCTGCAATCTCTTGTGTCATGTAACATGGGTTTGACTTGATCAATGCCTTTATTTTGTAGTCATCAACCTCGGTGGGCCTCCTTGACCGAGGAGCATCGTTGAGATCAAAATCACCAGCACGGAATTTCGTGAACCATCATTGGCACTGACGTTCTTGTAGAGCATTGTCACCGTAAATTTTATGCAACTTTTCACAAGCTTGATGCTCGTTCTCCCTTCATGGAAGTAAAATAGTAAAATATGGCAAGAATGCACACTTTGGTCTTCCATCTTCAACTTGTTGTAAAGTCTCCAAAACTCAACCAAATTGCTCAGGTTTTTTTTGTTTTTTTTAGAATGAAGCTACAACTGTCAGCTGTCAAATGACATAGCAATAACATAGATGCGATAGACTCTAGTACTTCCAAAAATGAGCAGGTGCCATCTGTCACAAACATGCGTCATGACTTTTCTGACGACCCCATAGATAATCACACTAATGAAGATATGTATTCTGCTGTGGAAAGTGGGAGGGATGAGCAGCACGTGGGCTTTGTCTTAAGGGAGTCAGGGAAATTTTTCTGAGGAACTAAAGACTGAGCTGAGATCTGAATAGTGAGTAACGCTAACTAGGAAAACAGGGTAGGAGGAATCATTTCAAGCAGGGGAAACAGTATATGAAGGTCTCTGCAGCAAGGAGAGAGGTGCACATGAGTAGGTGGAAGAAATCCAGAATGGGTGGAGCAGAAAGCAGGAGGTAAAGCTCAGGACAGATGAGATGGACCAAGGTCAGTAGGGCTCAGCTCATATGGGGCCTAATGGGCCATGTTATATTTTTGCTTAGTTTTTTATCCAAAGAGGAATACAAAGCCATTGAATTTTGTGTAATAAGTGATCAAAACCAAGTATGGAAGTATTACTCCATTGCTGCAGTAGAGAATGGATAAATGGGGGGAGGAGGTGGGCAGAGTAAATGTGGGGAAGGCAATTACAAGGCAATTGGTGTAATCCAGATAAGAGGATGGAAAGTGGAGATGGACAGTTTGAGAATTAAATAATTGGAAATTTAAAATGCCACTTAGAGTTGGTGCTATATTGCCTGGACTATGGTAGCGCTGAGGGAGTGAAATGTGATGATGCTTAGATTCCTGCTTTGTGTAACTAGATGAATGGTGTTATTTGCTGAGATAGGAAACACAGGGACAGGACCATAGCTGGGGCAATGGGCATGCAATGAGCTCAGTCTTAGAGATTTTGAATTCATGAGCCAAGATGACAGGCAGTTGACTGTAGGGTCAGTGGTTGGAAGACAGGTCCAGGCTGGAGATATCATTGATTGTGTCAACATATAGCATTTTAAAGCACAGATAACTTTAAGAAGAAGGAGTCCGAAGAAAAGGGGAAACCAGGGGAAATACTGAGGGACTTCTCCGTATTTTGCTTGAACAATAATACTGTCACAGGAGGGGGAAGCTGCAAACAAGGCAGAAAAGGTGTGGCCACAGAGGATGGTAGAAAACCAGGAGAGTGTGTATCACAGAAGCCAAGAGAAAAGGGTCATTCAGAAGGAAAAATTAAATTTGGCTCATTGCTCCAGCCCACGAGGATTTCTATGGGTGTCATCTAACATATTTAATTATTCAACATGTTTCCCATCCCTCTCTACTTTGGGTCACCTGCAGATTTGTTAAGTAGGCCTTTATCTAAGTTACTGTCATATATGTTGAACTTGATTTTACCCTGGCTCTGCTAGCAACTGATAGTGTAGCGTTAGCCAAGTCATATAACTTCTCAGTTCCAATCTGCTTATCTAAATAATGGGGAAAGCGATATTTACCTCTTAGAACTGTTGAGAATATTAAAACAAAGTAACATGTGCCCAGCACAGTATTTGGTCGGTAAGAGGTGCTCGATAAATGACATTTCATTCATTCTAATGATCAGACCTGAGGCCTGAACTCTGTCCTCCTCCAAGCTGACCTTTATTCATTATTAACACCTTTTAGGTATTGCCCTGCAGCCACTGTTATGGGCTAGATTGTATCCCCCTAAAGTTCACATGTTGAAGCCCTAAACGCCAGTATGACTGGATATGTTTGGAGATATGGCCATTAAAGACGTTTAACTAAGATTAAACAAGGTCATAAGAGTGAAGCCCTAATCTGATCTGACTGGTCTCCTCATAAGAAGAGAAAGAGACATCAGGGATGCAGGCATGCTGAGAATAGGCCATGTGAGGACACAGCAAGAAGGCAGCTGCCTACAGGCCAAGGAGAAACTAGCCCTACTGATACCTTGATCTTGAACGTCCAACCTCCAGACTGTGAGAAAATAAATGTTTGTTGTTTAAGCCCCCGACTCTGTGGTATGTAGTTATGGCAGCCCTTGCAAATGAACACAGACACTTATAACTTGCCATATTGGCACTGCATCAAATTTATATTTCCCATCTGCACATTATTATGAGACATCAAGTGCTGATGCTGAATCCAGACACATTCTGCCTACCCCACTTCTTTGACTTGAGAACCTCAAAACCCTGTCAAAGGAGAAGATAAATGTGGATAGCACTCATTTTTTTTCCCCACCATGCAAACAAGTGAGCCAAGTGAAGTAAGTTGGTACTAATGGGTTTGATCTGGCCTTGACAGCTGGGATCAACAGTTGGGCCTATGGGGGAACATAGTAGGTTCTGGGGGATTGGCTTCTGGGGTCCCTATCATGAATATCAGAGGGTATTTAACAGTTAATAGAGTGGAACTTGTTAATGACTTTTTCTCAGATATGTTTTTATTTGTTATCTGCCACAATCTCTATTACCCACTTTCATTGTTTCAGGAAATCCAAAATCCACTTTTTTTTTTTTTTTACCTGACACAATGTGCAGCAGTCAGGATCCAACAGCCACCAATATAAATTCCTCCACAGGTGATTTTCCCGTCATGCCTAATTGCCACTTGCCATGGGAAGTCTCCCTGTAAAGACATTTGTATGGCCACTGCCATTCTGCAAGCAGGTAGCTCTAAGATATTTCCATTGCAAGACTCCCGGTCTTACAATTGCATATCCCACCCCCTCTCCCCCCCAAACTCGGGCTGTCCTGGGAAGTAACAGTAGAACTTTTCGTGCAGGTTTACCTCTTGTGCCAGCATTCCTCCTACGACTCGTTTCCTTCGAGCTTTGACAGAGCTATTTTTAACTCCACAGGATAGTTTAGGGATAAATGACTTTATCCGTTTTCTTTCTTCAAGAAAATAAGAGATTGTATCATAAGTTTGAACCCATTACCTTGTGGGCAAACACTTCTTGATATCTCTGCCACAAAAACAGCAGAGGCACAGCTAATGTGAAAGAGGCCACATCCATTAGTAAACTATTTTGGATGCTAAACTGTACTATTCGCCTTGTTTAAAAATTCTGACTTAATATTAAAATTGGCTTGGTTCTCTCAAAATCTTTCTGAAGGTAGAATAGTGGCAGAAAGAGGCTGGCTGAGGGGTTAAACGTTTACCATCCTCTGGCTGATGAAAGATGCCA